TCTGTTTTTGCTGGTTTATATATTGGAATAATATTGTAGATGTCAAAGTATTTATTGATGACCTCATTACGACTATTCGACAATTATTAACCAAACTATCTACAGCTAGAGAATATTGAGCAAGCAAAATTAAAAGAAACTGATAATTTATATTATGCTTATTGTACATATTGCCAAAAACTTTTTATTTTGTTCACAGTTCTTTTTTCTCGTTTTTTTCCTTCTCATTGTTAACATCATATGACTATTCTATTCACGGCCTAAAATTATTGTATATACCAGGTCTATTAATATGTAGCGCGAAAATGGGCGCCAGAGGCCGCTGTGCAACTTTATTTGAGCCGACGGTGGCGCTGTTGTAGGCGTTTTGTTCTTTGACTCACGTGGCATCAGCATACGTGCAGTTTTAGAAAAATTCAAATCGTGAAAATTTTCTGGAGCCCGTGGAAAATGTCGATTTCCGAGCCAAAAAGTGCCCATTTGCGGGAAGTTTTGTTGTTCGCCTTCAACTGGAAGAAAAGTGCCACTGAAGCCCACCGAATGCTCGAGGAAGTTTACAGCGACCACGCTCTGAGCAAATCGCAGTGTTACAGGTGGTTTAAAAAATTCCAAAGTGGCGATTTTGAACTTGATAATGAACCACATGGAAAACCGCCCCAAAAGTTCGAGGACGCTGAACTGCAAGCTTTGTTGGATGAGGACAGTACCCAAATGCAGGAGAAACTCGCAAAACAGCTCCAGGTGTCTCAAGGTGCTGTTTCTCTACGTTTAAACAGCCTCGGAATGACCAAAAAGCTTTCCAGATGGGTCTCTCACGAGTTGAGCGAAAGGCAGCAATAACGGCGTCTGGTAACCTGCGAAGGGCTGCTCGCCAGGCATGAAAAGAAGTCATTTTTGCACCGAATCGTAACTTCTGATGAGAAATGGATCCACTTCAGCAATCCTACGCGCCAAAAGTCGTGGGACCTGCCCGGCCAATTTCCAAAACAGACGCCTAGGCCCAATCGCTTCGGAAAAAAGGCAATGCTTTGCATATGGTGGGACCAGACCGGCGTAGCATATTTCGAGCTCCTGAGACCTGGCAAAATGGTCAATACTAGTCGCTACGAACAACAAATGCGCAGATTGAGAGAGGCGTTGAATGAAAAAAGACCGGAATGGCGTGAAAAGCACAACAAGCTGATACTGCAGCATGACAACGCTCCAGCCCACAACGCTACGGTGGTCAAAAACACAATAAAAGACTTGGGCTGGGAACTCTTACCCCACCCGCCGTACTCACCAGACTTAGCGCCGTCGGACAACCACCTTTTCACATATTTAGGACACGCCCTAAAAAAAACAGGAATTTTCGAACTCAGACATACTCCGAAAATTACTTGTTGACTGGTTAGACTCAAAAGGAATAGAAATTTTCAGACAAGGAATTCAAAAATTGCCTGAAAAGTGGTCCGAGTGTATAGCTAATCAGGAAAGTTAATTTAAATAAAAAATCTTTTGTTGTATGGAATTGGTGAACTTTTGAATTCATTGAAAATTTTCGCGTTTCATACTAATAGACCTGGTATATGTATAGACAAATGTAAAGACATACATGTATGACAGCGAAAGTGTCCCTAGGGAGACATAGGCGCTTTAAATTGAAATAAATTAAAAAGCTAGACAATTGAATAAAGATTTTACAAATATAAAGTAATAAATCTTTTTCAAATATTATCATTGAATATTTTAAATAAAATAATAAAATATAATTTTTTTCTTTGCCACAATATTTTGCTACATTAGCACGCCATCTGTTATGAAAATTCCAAACTATTATAGACACGTATGATTCTTTTGTGGAAGAGAGATTGCCCGAAGAATATTATATATTTATAATTGTATGTATTTCTACTGTCCTCAAATCTCATGTCCATAGTTCATCTAAAATACCCATTCCAAGAATCTAGCAATAGTATCACTCTAAAAGGAAAACAAAGAATGCAATATAACAGTGGTATGATAGCTTAAACTGTCGAAACCGCTGGGAGAGTTCACCCCTGATGAGCAAAGGTCCTCCCATTGAATTCTCCATTGCAGTAAGGGCAGTAGAAATTGTTTAATTTTCATAGAATCATACGCGTCTATAATAGTTTCGAATTTTCATATTGAAACTATATAAAAAGTAACAACAGGAGTTGTTTTACTCTAATAAAACTAAAACATGTTAACTATCTCTTGTATTTATATTTATTCGGATACTTCAGATTATGACAATTTCTTATCATGCATCTGAAAGTTGCTGATGGCTGGCCCAATCTATCAGAATAAATATAAACTAAAAGGCATATGTGCTCCTGGTCAGGATTTATATTACCTACTCTACTACAATTATTGTAAATAGTTTCACTCGCAATTATCCAGATCGAATATAGCGTGTCTTGTTTGCAACTGGTGATATTATTTTTAATAACATATTTTCATTTATCTTTTATTCTATTGTTTTCTTTACATGTTAAGCGTATTTACGCAATTTCGCCTTAAATACCCATTTCTTGGTTTCTCAAGAAGACTCTGGGACAAAAAAATCTTTTTGATCTCAGTGGTACAGCCTACTCCACGCTGACGAGCGCTAAATGCACGAAACGCGCTCGTGGATGGCTTTTCTTGATTTATCATGTAATTGGGTTGGCCAAATATTAGGGAACAGGCTAAATCAATGTTTAGTTGATTTCTGTTCCACTAGATGGCGCTCTGTCATCTGAAAATCACATGTGCTCCTGGTCAGGAAATGCCTTTATATTTTTAAATATCAACTATTCGTTGTTTTTTAATTATTTCAGAATTGGCCAATTCCGATTATTTATTCCGATAGATGGCGTCAGCGATCAGCAACTTTCTGTTGCACGATAAGGAGATGTACTGAAATAAGGTGAATAAATTATGGCATATGTGTACTATTTTTTCACTTAGGTTAATATAGTTTTGGTCAATATAGTTTTATAGGTTATAGGTCAATAGTTTATAGGTCAATATAGTTTTGAAAATAGAGCGATCCAAAAATAAATCTTTAATTAAAAAGGCATATATTAGATCATATTGGATTATATTTTGATTTAATATATGCTTTTTTAATTAAAATAACTTCAGAATTTATCTGGAATTTTCTTATTAACTATTATCATAATGGTATAATACCTTTTTTCAAACAATTTTATAATAAACGTACCTATACGAAGTAAAGGATCGATAACAGAGTATCAATGACAACAGGCATGTTATTCCAGAAATATCCCTACGTGTCCAATACCGTAGCCAGACAATAAGAAACATGGCTAGCTAGATGGCCATGGTTGATGAAGCCAACTCCATAGGGACCAGATGTCTAACATTATTTGTCCTACAGAATTTGGTTTCCTCAATATTAGATTATATCTTGGGTATCTCCATTTATTTATACCCACCTAAACTTATGAATATTTGTTTATTAGTTTTATAGTATAGAACTTTTTTATTGGAATATATATTTCTTACTAAGTGTAAATGTAAAATATATATTTTCCTATATTATTCTATATATATATGGAAATTTTCCTGGGAGTATATTGATATAAAGAGACATGTGTGGCGACAATTACAGAGTTTTATTTATTATCCTCAGTTTGTACAAATTACATTACATATGATGATGTAATGACACATGTCAATAATGCGTATAATCATTTACAGATGTGTTTCTATTATACAACATTAAAATCTTGTTATAATTTATATACAATATAGGGTTGTTGGCTTAAATTACCATATATATATATTATTTTTTAAATAAGGCTTATTTTGGATTGTAATAAGATTATTTATTAATCCAATATTTCGATGGACCAATCTTCCATCTTTTACGAGGTTTTTGTTATGAAACACACAGCTTGTTGGGCGATAAACCATCTAATATATACATTTTAAACAAAGTAAATATAAACAAAAGAAAAACAATGTAATATATATAAATAAATATTGATAATTAAGGGATTTCGAATTAATTAAACAAATAAAAAAATACCATAAAAATTGAAATAACTGTGAAATAAATATATAAATAAGAGTGATAAATATCTGATTTAAAAATAAAATAAACATATAAATAACATAATCATCTAAAATGTTTTAAACTGAGTATATACATCTGGTAAGTCAATTTTTCTATTGATACTATTTTATTTCATTTTTAAATCGGTTGATTATTTAAAATAGTTGATTTCTATTCCACCAGATGGCGCGCTCTGCTATCTAAAAAGCACATGTATTTTGGTCAGGATATGCTTTCTTTATTTTTAATATATATATATGAAGAATACATAGAAGAAACAGAATAAGTTGAAGAAAATTTATTATTTTATTTCCGAAGTAAAATCACCTTAATCTATTTTAATATTTCTTTTAAAGGCAATTAGAATATACAAGAGAATTGCTTTTCTCTAGGAGAATTTACAAATTTAATCTAGATGTATTCATTTCGAAGTCAACATTGAGCAAAATAGTAAAAATATATATAACTTCTAAACAATATTATATCTACTTATAATTTTGAAAATAGAGCAATTCATGAATAAAGCATATATTGGATCAAAATATCATTTATTGACGTTATGTGGCGCTGAGTTTGTTGTTGACATACATTAATATGTTATAATACCTTGAAAAAGGTTGGCGTTCAGCCAACTGAAATATTGGTAAAGTAAATGATATTTTGATCCAATTTATGCCTCATTGATATAATATATATATAAAACATTATAAATGACTGCGGCGTATGATTATAAAGCAATACTTAAAGTTTAAACCGCATAAGTTTCTTTTATTTGTGAAAAATCAATTTTTATTTAAAGAGAAATCTAATATTTCTAACTTTTTGATGACGTATGAAAAGGTTGAATATATGAAGAGTGATGGTCTATATATGATTGGATGACGTATGGAAGGGTGAAAATATGAAGAGTAATGGCGAACGGAAAAATAAAAGTGTCCAGAGACGGGAATCGAACCCACAACCTTCTGCTTACCGGGCAGGTGCCATGTCCACTAGGCTACCCTGGACGTATTTCTCCGTTCGTAACTAATACTTAAAGTAACGGAGAAATACGTCCAGGGTAGCCTAGTGGACATGGCACCTGCCCGGTAAGCAGAAGGTTGTGGGTTCGATTCCCGCCCCTGGACACTTTTATTTTTCCGTTCGCCATTACTCTTCATATTTTCACCCTTCCATACGTCATCCAATCATATATAGACCATCACTCTTCATATATTCAACCTTTTCATACGTCATCCAAAAGTAAGAAATATTAGATTTCTCTTTAAATAAAAATTGATTTTTCACAAATAAAATAAACTTATGCGGTTAAACTTTAAGTATTGCTTTATAATATATATATAATAATGAAAATTGAAACTTCTATAGACGTGTATGATTCTTTTTGATAATAAACAATTTCTACTGTCCTTACTAATTTTAATTTCAAAAGAATCATACGCGTCTATAATAGTTTCGAATTTTCATAACAGATGGCGCGCTAATGCATCATAATACATATAATAGTATTTATATTTATAGTATTTATAGTATTTCTGTGAAAAATAGACATTTCGGCCAGTTAGAGGTTTTTTTTATTTTCAACCTTCCAACAAAAGTCCTTTCTCTTTACCAGGAGAAATAAATATAAATAAAGCATTTGACAAGGCGTTAAAAATTGTTTTAGGTTATGAAGGCGTCCTTAAGCGTCTTTTTCTAGAAATCTCTCGAATCTCAATTTTTAACGCCTTGCCAAATGCTTTATTTTTATTATAAATGCAGGCAAGGCAATCTCCATCTCTCTTGAGGATAATTATTTTAAAAAGTTGTTCAAGAAACTTAGACCTTTGAAGTAAACGAAAAAATTGCGCTACAAATTTTAAAATAAAACTACAACCTTTCGCAATAAGTTTCTTTTATTATGATATCTTATATTATAATAAAAGAAACTTATTGCGAAAGGTTGTAGTTTTATTTTAAAACTTAGACCTGGAAGCTTTATTTCAATTTATAACAATATTTTATCTTAAACGTTCCTATGCAAGTGTAAAGGATCGAAAACGGTGTATCAATGACAACAGGCATGTTATTCCAGAAATATCCCTATGTGTCCAATACCTTAGCCAGACAAGACGAAGAAGAAACATGGCTAGCTAGATGGCCATGGTTGATGAAGCCATCTCCATAGGGACCCGATGTCTAACATTATTTGTCCTACTGAATTTGGTTTCTTCAATATTAGATTATATCTTGGGTATCTCCATTTATTTATACCCACATAAACTTATGAATACTTGTTTATTCGTTTTTATAGTATAGAACTATTTTCTTTGGAAAATATATGTCTTACTGAGTGTAAATCTAATTTATATTTTCCTATATTATTCTATATATATATGGATATTTTCCCGGGAGGATATTGATATAAAGAGACAAATGTCGCCTCTCCCGTCAAAATAGACGTCAAAACTAGACGTCATCTATTGACCTCCGCCGCAAACTAGCGGCCTCGGATCGGTGACAAAGCCACAACTCCAGCTTTGGCAAACTGAAAAGCGTCCACTTAGAGACCATGGTTTTTCATTTTGCCAAAGCTGGTGTTGTGGCTTTGTCACCGAACCGAGGCCGCTAGTTTGCGGCGACAGTCAATAGATGACGTCTAGTTTTGACGTCTATTTTGACGGGAGAGACGACCTTTGTCTCTTTATATCAATATACTCCCGGCAAAATTTCCATATATATATATATATTGAAAAAAAAGCAATCGATAATAAATCTCTAAATAAAAAGGCATATATTGGATAAAAATATCATTTAATTTACCAATATTTTAGTTGGCTGAACGCCAACCTTTATCAAGGTGTTTCAAAACGATTTCAACCAGTTTTGGTTATGACGCTCTAAGCCTTGTAAGAACAATAGAAAGGCTTCGACTTTCTATCAACAGTTGGAAGTTACACTTAAACACCTTGATAAAGGGTGCGTTCAGCCAACTGAAATATTGGTAAAATAAATGATATTTTGATCCAATATATGCCTTTTTAATTATGATTTATTCATGGATTGCTCTATTATCAAAATAATAAGTATAGAAAAATTATTGTTTAGAAGTTATATATATTTTTACTATTTTACTCAATGTTGACTTTGAAATGTTTACATCTAGATGAATTTTGTAAAGAGCCCTCTGATAAACAATTCTTTTGTATATTCTAATTGCCTTTAATTAAAATAAATATATATATTAAGGTGATTTTACCTCGGAAATGAAAATATAATTTTTATTTAACTTATTCTGTTTCTTCTATTTAATCTGTATACTTATATATATTAAAAATGAAGAAAGGATTCCCTGAACAAGAGTACATGTGCTTTTTAGATAGCAGAGCGCCATCTAGTGACAGAGAAATCAACTATTTATTGATTTAAACTGTTCCCTTATATTTGGTATAACAGGTTATATAAATGAATAGTTGATTACTCTTCCACCAGATGGCGCTCTGCCATCTAAAAAGCACATGTACTTTTGTTCAGGATATGCCTTCATTGTTTTCGATTTCAACACCTGACTTTTTATTATTTATTTTTTCTATTGTCTTTTCACTTATATATAAATATTGAAAATAAAAAAGGCATATCCTGACCACGAGCACATGTGCTTTTTAGATGGCAGAGCGTCATCTGGTGGAATATATATATATTATATAAAGTAATTTAAAATACAATATAACGCGGCCGATGATTGTAAAACGAAAATTGCAATTATACCGCGAATGTTTCTTTTAAACAAAAATCGAAATTTATTTTAAAGAGAAATAGCGAATATTTCTAGCCTTAAGTGTCCCTGGACACTTTTATTTTTCCGTTTGTCATTACTCTTCGCGATTCATCCTATCATACTTCATCCTTAAGGTTAGAAATAATCGCTATTTCTCTTTAAAATAAATTTCGATTTTTGTTTAAAAGAAACATTCGCGGTATAAGTGCAATTTTCGTTTTACAATCATCGGCCGCGTTATATTGTATTTTAAATTACTTTATATAGTATATATATATTCCACCAGATGACGCTCTGCCATCTAAAAAGCACATGTGCTCGTGGTCAGGATAAGCCTTTTTTTATTTTCAATATTTATATATAAGTGAAAAGACAATAGAAAAAATAAATAATAAAAAGGCCAGGTGTTGAAATCGAAAACAATGAAGGCCTATCCTGAACAAAAGTACATGTGCTTTTTAGATGGCAGAGCGCCATCTGGTGGAAGAGTAATCAACTATTCATTGATATAACCTGTTATACCAAATATAAGGGAACAGTTTAAATCAATGAATAGTTGATTTCTGTGTCACTAGATGGCGCTCTGCTATCTAAAAAGCACATGTACTTTTGTTCAGGGAATCCTTTCTTTATTTTTAATATATATAAGTATACAGATTAAATAGAAGAAACAGAATAAGTTAAAGAAAAATTATATTTTCATTTCCGAGGTAAAATCACCTTAATATATATATTTATTTTAATTAAAGGCAATTAGAATATACAAAAGAATTGTTTATCAGAGGGCTCTTTACAAAATTCATCTAGATGTAAACATTTCAAAGTCAACATTGAGTGAAATAGTAAAAATATATATAACTTCTAAACAATAATTTTTCTATACTTATTATTTTGATAATAGAGCAATCCATGAATAAATCATAATTAAAAAGGCATATATTGGATCAAAATATCATTTATTGACGTTATGTGGCGCTGTGTTTGTTGTTGACACACTTGTTATAATACCTTGATAAAGGTTGGCGTTCAGCCAACTGAAATATTGGTAAAATAAATTATATTTTGATCCAATATATTCCTTTTTAATTAAAGTATATATAATAAGGAAAATTTGAAACTTTTATAGACGTGTATGATTCATTTTGATAATAAACAAATTCTTCTGTCCTTACTAATTTTAATTTCAAAAAGAATCCTACACGTCTATAATAGTTTCGAATTTTAATAACAGATGGCGCAGCTAATGCATCATAATACATATAATAGTATTTATATTTATAGTATTTATAGTATTTCTGTGAAAAATAGACATTTCGGCCAGTTAGAGTTTTTTTTTTATTTTCAACCTTCCAACAAAAGTCCTTTCTCTTTACCAGGAGAAATAAATATAAATAAAGCATTTGACAAGGCGTTAAAAATTGTTTTAGGTTATGAAGGCGTCCTTAAGCGATTTTTTCTAGAAATCTCTCGAATCTCAATTTTTAACGCCTTGCCAAATGCTTTATTTTTATTATAAATGCAGGCAAGGCAATCTCCATCTTGAGGATAATTATTTTGAATTAAGTTTTGTCTATGAGTTTGATAGCTTCTCTTTTTAATCACGGTAATTCTGTCATGAAGTTGAACGTATCCTATGTTTGATGCTAATGTTGATAAACTGAATATAACTAATCTAGAACAGAAGTCTATTAATCAAATATTCGTAATACGAGACAGAAGTAACTACCAGTATAGAAAAAGAGCAGGTGAAGTATTCAAAAATTATAGTTACTAGAATACTGTTGTTGATTTGTCCAATGAAGAGCCTCAGATGTCTCCATACATCTCTATCACAGCAGTCGCTATGTCCTCTATCTTGGGTGTGTAAAGCTGCTGTTCTGGGTCCATGTCAATTTTCTGTTGTTGTTGTTTTGTCCAATGAAGAGCCTCAGGTGTCTCCATACATCTCTATCACAGCAGTCACAATGTTCTCTTTCTTGTGTGTAAAACTGCTGTTCTGAGTCCATGTCAATTTTCTGTTGTTGTCGATCCAATAAAGAGACTCAGACGTTTCCATGAATCTCTTTCACAGCAGTCGCAATTTCTTCTATCTTGGGTTTGTTAAGCTGCTGTTCTGGGTCCATGTCAATTTTCTGTTGTTGTTGTGTCCAATGAAGAGCCTCAGATGTCTCCATACATCTCTATCACAGCAATGTCCTCTATCTTGGGTGGGTAAAGCTGCTGCTCTGAGTCTATGTCAATTTTCTGTTG